AACATCGAAAAAAGAGTTGGCGGATTTGTTGAGGTTAATTTAAGGTGTACTAACTGTTTGCATTACTCTGATAAATCGGAAAAAAAAACATGACATTATTGAGTGATACAAACGCATTTGTAACATTTTGTCTTTAGTCGTCGAATTTTACGCGCAACCAGCGAACATTTTTCACTTCATCGATGACATTTTCGAGTACATCTTGAATCTCATCTGGTGAAAAATATTAAGATATTATCGGATAATGCATTCTGCTTCCTCACTAAATCACGGAAAATGTTTTTCGCTCAATTCCCACTATTTTTATTCCCACAATTTGCTGCAATTCTTAATGTTCCATATTGACCGCGACCATGGCATTTCGCTATCAAGTGAATGAAAACGTTAAATTTCACATCGAGATGTCATCCCTAAAAGTTCATTTCCCTTCAGTATTGAGCAAAGTTTTACTTCCACGGTATCTACTCACCGTTCCGAACCACTCACTATACGTTCTCGTTTCAGATTTCAGCTTGAGCACATTCCCGTATAACTGTTCTCCCGTGTTTAGGACTCAGTAATGACAAAATATCCATCTGTAATCATAGATTCTGTGACTGAAATCAACTCTCTCATTAAATCATAAACTACCTTTTGTACAGATATGGATGGACCTATCCTCGAACAATTAGCTCTATTACAATACAGTTAATCAGCACGGTCACATTTCAGGGATTGTTTGTGATTTTGAATCACGAGATTGCGGATGGTCATTCGAGAGTCCCGCACTGAAGTTCCCTCGTGATGCGCGAAGTAATTTCAAGATAATTGTGGGTAGTCGTGATTCGAAACCATGTTGGTGCTCTCTCTTATTTATTTGTGCGGATTTCTTTATGGATAATGAAAAAGATTGTTTAGCGAACCGTTCGTCGTTACTCGACACTGCAAAACGGCGTATAAACGAAACTAACGATGGTTTTTTTTGTTTGTTCTCGAAATCTTTTGCTCATTTCTCATCGAGGAAACAACCGACAACCAACTGACTGACTTTTTTGCATTCATATATCACTACATTTGACAACAATTGAAGCTGAAAAAAAGCAGCAGTAGCGAGAATCTCATTTAAAATTACCTCATTCGCAATGGCATCGTCAACATATCACTGAAGCAAATAGTATTTCAAGTAGTTTTTATTACTTTTAGTCCGAGCCTTATATAAACGTTGAACTTATCACCGAAAAAGTTCCATACCAACAAAATGGCGTTTCTAGGATTGTGTAGTGTCATAAACGAAAGTTTCTCAATTTTCTCAATTAGAGTTTATTCTGAGAGTTTATCTAACAATAAGCAAATTTATCGAATCGAATCAAACAGTTGAGATTTTAGCCATAATGCTGCCAATGTCCATGATTTCTGGGAACGTCATCTACCTAGTCATCTGTTCACCCGTACACATTTTTCCACTATTCGCTCTGATTTCTCTTGAATTCGCACGTTCATATCACATTGTGCAACTGATCGTGAGCAATTGATCAGCAATTTGTTCAGCTTCTTTACTCAAGTGTTAGGGAAATTTGTTCGTTGCAGTGTCAACCTAAAACACTCATTAATTATGTTCAACTGTGTGGCACTCAATGCAAATTGATTGAGCGTAACGACTTTGCTTCAGTTTTTTTCCGAACATTTTTTTTGTGAGCATTTGTGCGTTTGAAGTGAACTGGACTGGACTGAACGTTATAAGCAGAAGATTAACATTGATTGATCGATGTTAGTGAAGATCTTATCAGCAAATGCACGTAGGCAGCAGTTCGTGTCCAATTAGTAGCCAGAGCGATATGAGACTATCAGAAATAATGAATGATAAACATGAAATGGGACGAGTAGCTGACATCAGAGCTGACTTTTCATGATTTTTCCACATCAAACTATGAAACACATTCGATGAAACATAATTTGTTATCACGGCTCACTCCATGAGCACCTTATGATACCGTAAATGCCTGGATTTTCCTAGATTACCTGGATTGGTGAGGCTATCAAACGTGTGTAACGTTGCTGGCCACAGCGCTCGCGCTTCCGTTCGCACTGTTTTAGCCTCGCCGTAAATGTATTGGAAAGAAAACCTAATGTGCGATCATCTCAGTAAATGCTTACAGACGCATGTAAATGCATATAGATGTATGCATAAACNTTCGCACTGTTTTAGCCTCGCCGTAAATGTATTGGAAAGAAAACCTAATGTGCGATCATCTCAGTAAATGCGTACAACCGCATCTAGATGCGTAAAAATGTATGTGCATAAACACTTGTTTCCGAATGCACCTAAAATGAACATTTCGGATTTCATTGTCAGTGAATTGATCAATCAGCTAACCTAAGCCCTAAATGAAAATGATTTGATGGATTCAGCACAAACAATCGCACATCTACTTTCAGCACATTTCGCATATTTCAATGCTTCAAGATATCGTGAAGAACCGGCCATGATAATCAGTCCTTACTATCAACATCTCTCCATGCAGGTCGTCAATCAACAACCTTACTTCTTTATCAAAATTACGATTAGCACCTATCCCATATCCAATAATCGCTTATGAGAAGCGAGCAAACCTGTAGTTGTCTTGAATTTCGCAAAAGTCTTTCTTCAGTCCAAACTTTCACCAATTATCTTTAGCACATGGATAACCTTGCTGATTGCATTTACGTATATTATTGCTTGAACTCATGAAATGATCTTTCATGAAGATCAAAAATGGATACGATGAAATTTATCAAAAAATGAACTGCAAAGCGAACAATTGTTTGTATTGAGCACATAATATTGAGCTTACCAGTCTTTAATTTTGAACATTTCTTGTCGCCAGCCTAGATTTCGTCCTCATTTCTTCTTCTTCGTAAGATACAATTTTTAACAAAAATATCTTGAAGTGTTGATTTCAGTGTGAGCTACGATTCATCTATCGTTTGTTCGGTGAGCCTGGTGCAGCTATCGTTGTGACCACTCAACACCGGGCGCTGAATGATGCAAATCGTTTCATCGATAACTACGATTATGAAGATGAGACCGATTGGACTAGGCCTACACTACATTCCACTTTCAATGTCCAACATAGCTATGTTGATTCGTGAGTTCTAATTTGATAATTTGCTTAATTGTTCGGAATTCCATTGACTTGATCTATTGACTTGTTCACTGGCTCAATTCACTTATGGATTTGCGTAATCAACCTTCACGGTCTCTATTCACTACCTACCTTCATCAGTAATTCACCGTTCAAAAGGTTCAACCAATAGAGCCGTGTAGAGCCGTTGTTCATCTTCTAACTGTAACAGTAATACAATAAAATTTGAAGTGAACAGAACAGAACAGCAGTAGACGAAGACGATTAGTGCGGTGATGAGTGCTAAATGAATGAATGTTAATGAAGTGATGTGATGAAAAAGTTGAGTCGAGTTATGGATGGCAATTGATTGCATTTATTGAGTTATTTCACTGCTTAGCAACAAAAAACATTTTGTCGTTAACTCGAATAGTCACTCACTTATATATGCTAGTGTGTTGAAGAAGCAATAAAAAATTAATGCATTTTTTTTCTAACAAAATATCTTTGTCACGATAGGATAGAGATATTCATTCGTGCAAATGAAATATGGATTATCTACGAGAATATGAATTCTAAGTATTCCATCCGAACCTCATCAGCTCTCCACATATTTTCGGAATCATTATTTTGTCTAAATTTGAGGATTTATATTTTGCTCCCATATCTAATAGGAGAGAGGTATAAAAGTTTTGTATCTCTAAACAAATGCTGCTCATATATCTGTCATTCTAATCGAATTTTCA